TGCCAAGCGATTTCATCACGATATTTCGTTCACTACGTTCGATACACTCAACTCGGCTTCATTCGATGGCTGCAAATAATCCAGATTACTGAGTTTTTCTATTTTGTTAACTGTGTTGCTGCGAAATACATACATGTATTGCGCGAAATGGATTATTTGATATTTTCTTTTTTTCGGGCGGAAAAAATGTTATTTTTTATCACGAGAGATCAATGAATATTTGAACTGACTGATACTATACACTGAATTTAAGGGATATAGTGTATGTGAATGGTGTCGAATAATTTAAAATTTCGTTTCTTTTTTTTTCGTTGCTAGATTGAAAATTTTGCGGGTGAATTTCGGATGGACGAACGAAAGACTGTCTCGGATCCAAATTGACGTACTTCGTTCGAACGACAATGGAGAAATGTTGGTTGCTTGTCCGGAGCAGCCAATTCAATGTACAACACACGTTTGTTACGGCGCGCGGTACAATAATAAATAAAAGCAGATAGTTTTTGTGTGTTCGTTATTACCCAGCGCCGCCGAAAAAAAGTGAGTGATGATGAAGAGAAGAAAAAAAAGGCAGCAGCAGCAGCAGCAGCAGGCAGTTTGAAAAGCGCACAACGAATCTTCGCTCTTCGCCTGGCCTATACGTATTGAGCAATACGGTGTGTGTGCTGTGCCTTGTTGGTAGATGTGCTTACTTGTGTGCGATATACATTTTCGCTTTTATTTTTGCTGCTTTGCTGCTGTTGTTGTTGTTGTAGTGTATTTTCATTTCATTTGTCATTGAGAGAGTGAGAAAAAGATACTTTGACTGATAGCAATAAGCTGCAATGAGCTAAGCTTAGGTTCAGCTCTCCAGAGTGAAATGTGCGAACCGGTATAAATTCATCTACACATTTAACAACGATCGCGATTGTATACGTGTGACTACTATGTCTATTATTGCCACGGTGAAAAGCATGCTCGTATAGGTGGAAATAGAGAACATGAGAAAGAAAGAAGTTGAAAAAAAAAGCAAAAATCATTTCGACCAAACAACACACAATCGGTTGTGTGAGTGCGGCGAGAGAGAAAGAAAATACGAATGTAGCGAAAAAGAAGAAGAAGAAATAGTAGAAGAAGAGGAGTGAAATATCGAAAGCCAACACAAACATCGCCGTGGTATTTGCCAAATGAATGTACCGTCATTGGTGCGGAGAAAGAGTGCATTGGTATGAGTGTTAAGTTGAGTAACGGCACACCACAAACGGACTGAAAAGAAATGGAAAGAAAGAGCCAGAGAAAAAGAAGAGGAATAAACGACGACTATCGCAACAATCACTTACCATCTCAACACAAGTTTTATTTGCGGAATTTTTGTGCGAATATTAGAATTTCGTGACGACGACAAAGACAACAACAACGATTACTATGATGACTTTGTCAATTGACCAACGAAATGCTGTTGATGGCACCCATATAGCCGACATTAACTATCAAAAACCTTTTTGCATATTTACATTTTGAAATAGTTACACAAACGACATCAGACAATGTATTCCAACACTTTCGATACATTTTTTTTTCTCTTCATTTTGTTCGCTGCGAAAGATCAACACAACGATCGAATATTAACAAATGGCTTTTTGGTATGTTGATGCCAAAATGTGATCGAGCCACATACTTTGTACCGATCGGTACACACAACAAAAACCAAACAGCAAAGAAAAGAAAAACTGCCGAAGAAAAGCCCCGAAAAGAAAGCGAACTTGACGTGACCAAAAGGCAATTCATCAAATGTATTAAGTTGAAAGATTTTGCTCGAAGTCCCGCATAATACGTGGTTGTGACTGGGATATCAGTTAACATTGTATACAAACTGGACCAGTACAACTACTTTCATCAAAAGGCTTTCATTTAGCATTTACATATGATAGTGAAATAAGTTTATGTTCGTTTTCCCCATTCAATTCTTGTCGCCCACTCGATGTCGCTTGCAAACGAGAGTGAACGCGTGCGCACCCGTGTGTGTTTGTGTGTACTCACAAAAATGACACTGTGGTGTATTCTTCGTGTGCCAAAAAATCATGCGTTACGGATATATCGAATATTCGATGACTGCGATTTAAAAAAAAAACAACGAGCCGAAGGAACATGACGAAATCAATTCGATTTCTGACCATCTTTATCTCTCTCGTTTGCTCGTTACTTTAAATGATAGACAGTGACACATCATATTCGTGTAGAAAACGTTAGATCCGCGATCATAGATTATTTTCACCACTTGTGCCTACAATTCGTAGTTAAAATGCTCTTAACATTCGGTGCCTAAGCTTTGACACACATCGTTTCTATTTCGAAATAGTCTTTCGTTATTGCATTCAAACGTGCTATACTCCTCCTTCCACCCAATGCACGTATTCGTGTGTCGACGACGTTTTTGCACAACTTTGTGCAACCAGCGTTTGATCTTGCCCATAAAATTCTTAGTCTCAGTGTTTAGTACTTTACTTTGATTGCGGTGCAGAATTATGTTCCTGCACTGGAATCTATCTCTCTCTCTCTCTCTCTCTCTCTCTCTCTCTCTCTCTCTCTCTCTCTCTCTCTCTCTCTCTCTCT